CTTTAGCATAACAATGAAAAGTAAGTGCCAAGTTCCAAAGCAACTCATGTTACATGTACAGCTTTTATGATTTCAATCAATGTTAGCAAAACAAATTTGGTTGTTATTACTTCCCTTGCAAAATTGAGGTCAATTTGTATGTTGAGAAATATGAGATAACATAAGATATGTTCTATTACTATTTATTCAGTGCCAATATGGGCATAAAGGGAATAAACATAAGAAGGAAAAGGCCTTAAATGTATGTGAAAAAAAGATCATTTACAGACATACCTATATAAACAAGTACAAGTAGACATATGACACTTTATGACAATATATGCATCTTTAAAGCTTAATGCTTAAGAAGAGTATAAAAAATTGGCTAGTTTTAACTTTAATATCTGCTTTTATAATTTCATAGAACAGTTACATCATTTAAAGCAGTATAATTATTCATTTGCTAAAATTTATTTTAGTAGAGATCCAAAGCCATATAGGTCTTGAAGTTAAATTGTTTGCAAATGATTGAATGGCAAAAGGATATTATTTAATGTTTAATCAGACCTTTGTTTGTCATAATGCCCAGCAATCTTTCATAATCTGTAATCTCACATTGTTTTGGGAATTATCTTTCTCTAAAACATCTTCCTTCCTTTATCTGAAATTGATATAAAAATAAAAAGTGCTAATTATTATTTATTAAAATTTTCATACAATTCCAAAATTCTAAAAGAAATATGCAGCATATAAGCATCCATAACCAACAACAAAGACTAATGAATGAATGTGTAAAGTCACCACAGTATTCAAGCTCACTCAAGAAAAGGAGTCCTGTTCTTTTGAAATAAGAACAAAATTGGTCAATTTGTTGTCTTAAAAAAATTTATGAACACTTTTTGATCAAGTCTTTTTTCCTCACATTACTTCATTTCTTAGGCTAAGTACATAACCCATCATTTTTTAATAAGTCATATTTTGTATTGCACAGACATACATCATACTGAATTGTTTATCATTAAGGTTGTCACTTGGCTAGGGAAGTGTAATTTGATAGTTTGACTCTAGTAAACAAAAAGTAATTACAATGTTTATCTTAGAAATGTCACTTCAGACTATATTATAATTCAATATTCATAAATGAAGGAAAATTTTGACCCCACTAAGAATTTAAAGACTTTAAAGCAACCCCGAGAAGTAAATATTTTATGCAACTGTATATTTTCAAGTCTGAAAAACACAGGTACAAAATATTTGGCACCAAATATTATACTCAGAGCTCACTGATGTCATGCTAGATGTTTTTTCCCCATCTGTTTGAATTTATGAGCGAGATATCTACATATATGTAACTGTATAGGAAAATTTGGCAGATTTTCTGAAATTTTAAATTAAGGCTTGAATTAAAAAGTTTAAACTGACGTGAATGATTTAAATCCCGGTTAGTAAGAAAATGAATGTCGATGATGCTATAATGATATTAATTACAACCAAAGAATAAGTATATAAGGTGTGAAGTTATCATTCTGTTTGGTGCATGTTTATTCTGCTGTTTATCAGGTGCAGTACAATCAGTACATTTAGCTACCGTAGCTTTATTTACTTACCTCAAGTAGCTTTATTTAGCTATTTCAAAACAACTTTTGACAATTTTGCTTTTTATTTTAAAAAGACAAAAAGTCGCAAGTAAATGTCTACTAATATTTATTCTAGGTTCTATTTAAAAAGCAATCTAAAGCAGAGATAGTTTTAACATTGCTGCGTTTGAACACTTTTAAGGAAAATATGTATTTCCATTGTTTTACTGTGCACCACCTTGTGTGCGATGAGGCGTGGATAAGAGTGATTACTTCACATTGTGCTCATGTTAACCAAAACTGGTTTTCTTTGTTATGTCACTTAAGAAGTAGCTGTTAGATCACAAATTAACTGTTGTATATAGCCCCAAAACTTTTAGAACTTTGATTGCAATTGCGCCGAAAAAGACACATCTCCAAGAGTGTTTTTTCATGAATTGTTTTCAGATGAGTTCAAAGTTGAAAATTATCACTGCATCAAAGTGCAATTTTCTGCACTTTCTGGGAAAAATGCTAATTTAAGAAATAAGTTTGATTTAGTAGCTGAAAAAAGCTACTTCAGGTAGATAAATAAAGCTATGTATGTAAATCAAGCTACGTAGCTAAATCTAGTGATTGTCAGATTGTACCAGACTAGATAGCACGTTCTATCGTTAAAATGATATTGCCCTACGGACCCGGTTTAACGATAGAATTCGTTCCGTGTATTGGCAATGTTGCAAAATAAACACGGGCGATAACTCGTACTCTGAGCATTTTCTATGAACAATCCAGAGAGTTCCGAATGTCAACATGGCGTTAAATTTGAAGCGAGGAAAAAACGATGAGAAAATGAATTGAATTTTCGTATTTATATGGATTATTTTTTAGGTTAAAAGGCATATACAATCTCAAAAAGGTTTGTTATGATTGATTTGGTAGTTATTTTCAGTGCAACTCATTTTGTATTCTTCAAAATCATTTCAGAGTGGATCCACTCCGATTTGCTACATTGCAAGTATATGGGACGTATTCTAACTGTGGTGAGGGCTTGTTCCGAGACACAGTTAGATTATTCTAACTAGTACCATACCTGTTTATTTCTACTAACCTGAAACCATGTAGTGCATCGTGATACTGTATTCAGAGGTGACATCGCTTGGCAAGTTGTTGCACGAAACCTGACAGCATCAATCTCTATATTTCTTGCCTAAATGTAACCGTTTACTGGAATATATACTGTGTTTTCCGTGCAAATGCATCGTTGCGTCCCTCTCTACCGACATGGTGTCGCAAAACGGCAAGGGTATGTCGTAAATGCTCCGAGGTCGGAAGAACAAGCAAAAAGCAAAAATTTATGAAAAACATGCAATATTAATTTAATTTGACTTTATTTCACAAGGAATTTGGTGTTTACGATCTTTTAGAATAGTTTAATAGCAAAACCAAACGCTCTACGTATGATCACGACATTGACCTGATCTTCAGCAGTTCGAGTTGCGCGGTAGGTTCAAAATCGTCAGGTTCACATATCCTTAAAATAAAAGATTCTGACACTTTCAGTCAAGAAAAATCACGTTGATTAAACGCCTGTCAACATTTAGGAAAATCGTCACTGTAGGGAACAGAACCATAACAAATAAATAAATGAATGCTTTAGAGTCCAGAAATAGGCGCTGAAGTGGGTGGGGGTATTTTTTCCAAGGTGAAAGCTTTCGTCCCTCGTAGAGTTTATATATATAGGTGTGGTACGTCTTTTTTAAACGTGATTTTTTCTTGACTGAAGTATCAGAATCTTATTTTAACAACTTTTAAGTGTATTTAAAGTAGATTCATATTTTTATTAATTTATTTTACATTTAATAATCCGGAAGACAATCTCCTATTTACGAAATATCGGAAAACGATGTGCATACCTCAAGTGCATCAAGATGTATTACAAGACTTATTGACAAACCTGTCAACATCTATGTCTTTTTACTACTTTCCCTACGTGACGTCATACATTTCACGGTTGAGTAATTTTGAACACCGAGTTTTGAGCACAGTAACCAAGGTAATCAAGATTCGGTCATGCAGAAAAAAAAATTGCATGTTATGTAACCCTGCATTCATTCTATTTTTTTAAATCCATTTTTATTAGACACCTATGTACCTGCCAATCTAAAATATAAAAATAAAAATTAGATGACTTTTGACTGAATCTTGGACGATTCTTGTAACGTTTGCGAAAAGATTTACATGAAACGTCTTGGAATAACACGGAAGGACGCATGTTTTCAAGAAACGCAACTCAGTCTGCACGAAATGCATGTGGTGTACGATAGTCTACACGCTTGGCAACAAACGAAAAGCGCAATGAGCACATGCTGTAATAGAGTAATATCTTTAGTGGCGTATATTACTTTCTGCTGATGTGTAGGCTAGTGTGAAGTCACAGATTTAACCTGAGGCGCAACATGTGGGTAGGCAAGGAGCCCTCTCTCGATAGGTATTGGCCGGGGGGGGGGGGGGTTCAAAGGGAGCATTTTTGCAAACTCGAAGACATCTACGACTGTAATTTGACCAGTGAAAATGATATTTTAAGTTTATAGCATAATATGAAGACCACTTAACAAAATTGAGAACTCTTAACTTATCATTTTACTCTGATTAGAAAATATGGAAACTTCGTTACTGAATAATCAAAATACCAATAATACGTTTAATTTCCTTCTTATATCATGTTCTAAATTTTGAATTTACTAAGGGAGGTTAAAACAAAATTTACAACATGATAAATTTTGCATTTACCTCCCCCTAGTAAATTCAAAATTTACAACATGATACTTACCAAAAACATTTCCAGTTATCAAATTCATCTCCTGCTATTAATCCTATTGCTGTCGATGGTTTTGAAATAAGTGACACAGATTTAATATAACATTGAATTTCGGCTTTAAAAAATTACAGCCAAAGGAGTAGTTTTGTCATTAAATATAAAGGAAAACTGTAAACATTTACATTGGGTATAAAAGTGCGGATTGCTAAGCATTCTTAGTTATATATATTCAAAATATAATTAAAACTTAGGTAAGATTTATTATCAACTCCCCTCCCCCATTTTTTAACCAAATTTTTATCCCGGACAAAATTATGTGTAGCCTATTGCCTTTAGCCTATATAGAATATACGCCACCTTATCTCATTTAGATTTTTATCTGGTATTAATGTGCTATAACAGAAACAGTTATTCAAGGTATATAATAATTTTTATGTTTTATTAATGAACGAAAAAATCATGCAGTGATGCTTATGAAAAAAAAATCATGTGTCGAGAAAGAGGCAGCAAGTAAAAATTAATCTCTCCTCTGACCCTCTTTGATGTCCTTTTGTACCTTAGGAATTCACTGTATGTCAGTGCAGGATAATCGCAAATAAAAACTATAACGAAGAATTATACTGTGTTCTATTTCTGCGTTGAAGGTGTTTCTGAAGTTCCATCCAGCATAACAGTAGCTTACCATAGCGTTTCCTGGACAACAGAAGAAAAACCGCCAGAAAACGGAATAAAACAGAAGGTACACGAACCTGATATCAATTTAATCTGTCAGTTTCAAAGATTGGCTGACCAAAATCTTTTTTACGACATCACGTGGTATGTTGATAATACCGAAGTTCTTCGAAATCAAACAATCTCTTCGAACGCATCTGATGTAGCCTTGTTATCGGGGACACAGATACTTGCTAAAGGCAAAAAGGCAAACTCAATGGTGAGTTATTTAATATGCCTATTTACTATTTTCTACAGCTAGAATCAGGAACAAATCAATTGCTTTTAAGTATACTCATTAACACATTCATTTTTTATGTACACTTTATGTAAACTTTGTTTTACTAGCATTTTTACGTGCATCCTTTGTATTGATAAGAATAGGAAATTGCTTAAATATTCGCCAAAATACTTCATACCCCATTTAAAATATCGACACTTATGGAATGATGATTCATAATACATGTATGTATATCCCTCTGATACTTATTTATCTTAATGTTAACAGATCCATTGCGTGGTAGGGGCAAAATTCAATGAAGGTGGCAGTCCATGCGAAACCAATGCTAGTTCACTCTTCTTTGCAGGAATAAAGGTATCTTGCAAAATAGTAGGAAACTTATATATATATATATATATATATATATATATATATATATATATATATATATATATATATATATATAATTATTATTATTATTATTATTAAGTATTATTTATTTGTACAACCATTTTAAGTACTCATAACTTATTGATATGAATTAAATATAAAATTTATTATTACCTAAGCAAAAAGATTTTTAAAAAGTAGTTAAGGAGGAAATACACATATATTTGAAACAAAGAAGATAACTGTTATTTTTCCGTAAATTATTACTCTAATTTTCTTTAAATGAAGAATATAAAGGTAAATTTATTTCAAATTAGAAAAAAATGTAATTTCACTAGTATTCAAGCAAACTTTTCCAGATGACTGATTATTTTTTTTTTTTTTCATTTAATAGATCTTGACACCAATTCTTCGGATAAGTAGGGGTCAAACCGCAGAGGTAAAACTACAGTTTACAATACCATTTATAAATCAAAACCTAATTATAACTATTCCGGGGACTCCTCCAAATGACGAACAATCCAAACTGAATATACAAATGGCCGTACATAACAGCTCCTCTAGAGTCTGTGACGATCCAAATAGAAAATCCTGTGATACTGAAGTCAACGCTTATAAATACAAAGAAAGGGATAAATACAACACGGATGACTGGAAAGTGGTACATGAAATAAAAGTCCAAAATAAACACGATGGCGACTTCAAGCTTATCGACAAGCACATTACTTTGCGTTTCGAGACTGGGTCTACAAATGGACCAGGAAGCAAAATTTGGGAAGACATCACCCTGCCAGACATACAGGTTACTGTTTTTTTTTTAAATTTCTTTTTTGGGGTCAAAATAGCTTTGCCTTATAGTTATTGTTAGGTCATTATTTAAACACTTCTACAGAGGATGCTTACTCCTCCATAGCACCTGATCCCACCTCTGATATCTTTAGAGGTCCGTTTTTGTTCTGCTCCCGATTTGCATTGTTTCAATGGTTTTAAGCTTGATTACTGTTAGTTATCTCCATATTTCATTCATCAAGAAGAGAAATATCCAATATGAAGCGTAAATGATATCAAATATAAGAATTTAGGGAAACATTCAACATGAAAAAAAAGATATTCAAAATCACAAAGCATTTTTTCCCCAGAATTTTTTCTGTAAGTTCATAATTGTTGAAATGTTTGTGCACTCTTTTTAAGGTTTATATAGAGGACAGTGATTCCGCATGGAAAGGAAAAAATTGCGAGTCTCACACAGATCCACATATGAAAACATTTGATGGAAAGTAAGGAAACATGCATATGTTAATGAAGCTTTATGGCCCATCGACAAAAGTTCATTTCTTCTCACGTGCTTGTAATTTGTGTTTCTTCAACAGGCACGTAGCATGGTTTTCAAAGGCGGAGCGGGGGAAGTAGTTAGAAAAAAAAATTGATTTGATACATGAAAACCTTTGACGAGCGAAATATGAAAAGGAAACTGACTAATCACCTAATCACAAAAAAATCTAGGGAAGTGGGGTTACTGACGTAAAATACACTTAAATCATTTACTGCAACAAAACTTGGGGACAACCAACTTTATAATGAAAAAAAAATCATTCTTGTTTAATAGCAAAACACCCGGGCAAAAGGAGGGGGAGTCCCTGTCTCCCCATTTTTACTAGGTGCCTGTTCTTATCCATTCTCATTGACAGTAGTAAAGGCATCTCTAGACATATTTTAATTCAGCTGATCTAACAGTTAAAGAAAGCCTTTGTGGACAAATGTTTTCGGCAGTTGTCATAATATTTCCTTCATTTTAAACCTTAACCGTGCAATTTTCAACCCATTTTGTCGCAAAAAGATCCTTGCTTGAATGGGATTCAATATGTTAATTTGTTGACCAGTAGAGCGCTCGCTCCGTAACAGGAGTATCGTGGGTTCATGTCCCGTAAGTGACAGAACTATCAAAACAAAAAGTTGCAACTGTATTCGCACAATAAAGATCCCCCACTGCTCAATTGCCTTAAGTGCCGAGTAAAGGTCGCACTTTGAAGTGCGCCGGTATAGCAAGTAAATTATATGATTAGCTAATTTCCTGTTTCTATTTCGTCAAAGTGATCATCCTTACAGGATTAGAATAAAAATCTTTAAAGAGCCTCCTTAGCAGAGTAGTACGGTCACAAATTGTCAAAGAACAGTGAAGAATCTTCATGCAGTTTAAAATACAGTTCTGTTCAATCAAAGACCTCTCTAGAAAGATAGTGCCAAAATAGGGGTCAAATGCTGATATCCGTATACATTTTTATTTTTAAAATACTTTATAAATCAGGTTCACCATAGAGTAGGGCTACATAAAATCAAATTAAAATGCAAGCACCCTTATCAAGGCATTAAGTGAATATGCAAATCACGGCGGAGATCCCAAAGCGAAATCAGTACATCCGCTGAGGAGAAGGATCTGAAGGTTGAAAAACCCGTCAACTGGCAATTCAGTAATACCGACAGAAATGCGACTGAACGTTAACTTACCTGTAGAATGTAGAGAATTTATTTTAACATATAATTCAATATGTATATTAGACTACATTTTCTTGCAATTTGCAGAAACTTCGATAAACAGCCATGTTTTGCTTTTGCTTCAAATTTTCTCGTGTACTTTTAAAAAAAAAATTACACGAGAAAAATCGTAATTCATTGTAGATACTATGAATGTCAGATGGATGGGACTTTTATTTTGTACCGAAACAAGATCTACCAGCAAGAGGTTTGACAATTTTGTTCTTTGGGTCCATGTATAAAAAAAAAATGAAAATTTTGATACAGAAAAGGTTGTTTAATTGTTTATTAATTCATTTATCTTTTTTTTCTGGGGGGGGGGGGGGGGGTTAGATACAAGCTCTATATATTGGTAATATTTTTGTGCTCCGTATCGAAATTTGGAGGTATATAGTTTTTTCCCTGTCCGTTCGTCTGTCTGTTTGTCCGCAGAAATTTTAACATGGCTCATAACTTTTGATTTGTTGGAGCTATTGCCTTCATATGTCACATGTGTATTCCTTGTGACAAGACCTGTCTTTGGGTACCATCATATTTGACAATTTTGACCCTGTGACCTTGAAGTTGGAGTTTGACCTACTTTTGGAAAACTTTAACCTTGGCCATTACTTTTAAACAATTGGTGCTAGGACTTTCATTCTTCACATATGTAATCCTTGTGACAAGACCATACTTTGGATACCAACAACTTTGACCTTGGAGTTTGAGCTACTTTTGAAAACTTGAACCTTGGCCATATCATTTGAATAGTTGGTGCTAGGGCTTTCATATTTCACTTGTGTATTTCTTGTGAGAAGGCCTTTCCTTGGGCACCATTAATTTTGCTAATTTAACCTCTTTTTTTTAGGTCACCTGAGTCACTCAGGTGACCTATTGCTATCTGTTTTCGTCCGTCGGCGTGCGGGTGTGCGTCGTGCGTAAATTTTTCACATTTTCGACTTCTTCTCAAGAACCACTGGGCCAATTTCCACCAAACTTGCCACAAACTATCCTTGGGTAAAGATGATTCAAGGTTGTTGAAATGAAGGGCCACGCCTTCTTCCAAGGGGAGATAATTAAGAATTAGTGAAAAATTAATGGTATCTTTTAAAAATCTTCCTCTCAAGAACCACTGGACCAGGTAAGATGAAACTTATGTGGAAACATCGTCAGGTAGTGTAGACTCAAGTTTGTTAAAATCATGACCCCCAGGGGTAGGGTGGGGCCACAATGGACAATCAAAATTTTACATAGAGATATATTAGGAAAATCTTTAAAAATCTTCTTCTCAGGAACAGCTAAGCCCTGATTGGTCATATTTATATGCAAGCATCCTCAGGTAGTGTGGATTCAAGTTTGTTTAAATCATGACCCCCGGGGGCAGGGCGGGGCCACAATGGACGATCAAATTCTTACATAAGAATATATAGGAAAATTTCTTCTCAAGAACTGCAAAGTCATGATAAGTCAGTTTGATATGATAGAAGTTTTACATAGAAATACATAGAAAAAATATTTTAAAAATTTCTTCTCCAGAATCACTGGGCCAAGAAAAATGAAACTTATCTGGAAACATCCTAAGGTAGTGTAGATTCAAGTTTGTTCAAATCATGACCCCCAGGGGTAGGGCAGGGCCACAGTGGATGATCAAAGTTTTACATGGGAATACATTGGAAAAATCTTCTTCTCCAGAACCACTGGGCCAAGAAAGATGAAATGTGGAAATATCTTCAGGTAGTGTAGATTCAAGTTTGTTAAAACCATGATCCCCAGGGGTAGGGTGGGCCACAATGGACAATGAAAGTTTTACATTGGAATATGTAGGGAAAATCTTGAAAAAATTCTTTTCTCAAGAACAGCAAATCCATGATTGGTTATATTTACATGGAAACATCAGGTAGTATAGATTCAAGTTTGTTCAAATCATGACTCTGGATTCTTGGGATAGGGTGGGGCCTCAATGGACGATCAAAGATTTACAAAAGTTCCTTTCAGTTTATTTTATACTTCTGTGGATTGTTGTTTTATACTCAAGGACCGTTAAGGCCCTTGGGCCTCTTGTTTGATGTTTGACTTACATTAGAAAAAAACCCTTTCCATATCTTTTCAATGTTTGCTGCTAGGGCCTTCAAATTTCACAGGTATATTCTTGGGACAAGACGCTATTTTGGGTACCAACATTGATTTGCATTTGAGAAAGTTTAACCTTCGCTATAAGTTGCCATACGGGGGGCATCAGTGTTTCACAAACACATCTTGTTTCCATTTTAGGTACAAGAAAAACACCATAAGTGTTACCATGCATATAACTACCCAAGATGCACTTGTGCTGTTGCTGTAAGATCGGGAAAGGACGTCTTTATCGTCGATATTTGTAATACCCAAACGATCATCAATTTTCCTACTTGTGAGGATAAAGTTTTAAAAGTCATCAAAACGAGTGACAAATTGTACAAGGTAAAACATTTATAATCCCACATTAATAGGTGAAGATCTCTTAGTGGTAAATATACGAAGGATTATTTTTGGTACTTTTTCTTTATCAACATTCTACAGAAAACCATGTAATATATACGTACTGAAAGAAAGGAGACATTTTTGTACTTCTATGAATTCATTACAAATATACAATATAGAATGGACTGTTGCAGTGATTTAAAAGTGTACATAAAAGAACTGGTGGTATTTTAAAAAAAAAAAAGAAGCGCTTTTATTATTGGTGATTAAACTAATAAAAATCCTTTTTAATACTTTTTTGCAGGATCATATATCCAAAATGGAAAACGATTTTTTTTACTACAAATTAAGCTAGGTTCTCGACTTTCTGTAGCTCTGCTATTTTGTCTTGTTAAGAGCTGCAGTTTACTTCAGCACTGAAGAAAACCATAAGAAAGAAAATTCTTTCTTATACCTCTTTTACAAAGATGTACTTGTGTAAAAAAAAAATAAAATGTGTTCCATTTTTTTCTTCCAACCTTACTGCATAAGTTGTAGGGTTTAACTAGTTACAGTCGACGGTCACTTTAATAATATGTTACATTGTAAAGGATCCATATATTGAATATGAAATAAAACAGTAGTAAACTATATCACTATAAAGTTACAGTATACAGTTATGGAATGGGTATGAGGGAAATAGCAAATTTATGGTTCCCCGAGGGATGAAACTATTTCCCGAGGGAAATAGTTTCCTGCCGAGAGGAACCATAAATTTGCTATTTCCCTCATACCCATTCCATAACTGTTTTATTATCCCGAAACAAACAAAGGAGATTTATTAACTAGAGACTTAGACATTTTTAAAACAATATAAAGGCATTTATAAAAATAATAATAAATGCATGCGATTCCAATTTTGTTAAATATGTAATGCATCAATAAGGAAAAAATAAAATTATTTTTAAAAAAAATAATAATTATAAATTTTACTAGTATTTCGAAGGATTAGCGTTGTCCTCTTTTTGCTTAGAAATTCAAGTATGATTTTGACATCGCATGTCGAAATGTTTTGACGTCATAGTTACATTGTTAATAACATTACGTCACGGACTCGAGATTCCTTGAACGCTCCGCCCTCTGTTAATTTTAATTGGTTAAAATTAATAATAAAATAATATTCATGAGGGAGTAGTCCCAGGGAGTAGCTATGATTTTTCAGGGAGTAGTCCTCAGATGGGGGAAATAGTATCTTCTCGGGGAAATAGACAGTTTTATGGTATTGATTTTATATAGAGTAATAAGAGTAGAGGTATAATAATGATGACTATAATTATCAAAGTTTTCACTATAGTGTCATAGTTGTATGTATCACTATAGTAAATCAAAGTTTTTAAATTTATCACTATATCTAACCATAGTTTTCAAAGTTATCAGTATAGTAAATTAAAGTGTCAAAGTGATCACTATGGTAAATCAAAGATAAAAACTTATCACAACTGTATATAATGTTCTGTGATAGAAGTCTAAATTAGTTCCACATTAATTGCACAACATTGATAATATCCAGTTCTACATATTTTCTCATTTTACCAAAGTTATTTGTTGATGTCTTGTATTTGAAATAATTCTATGCACATTGCAAGAGGTACAGCTTATTTAAATTTTATTTTTAATGATTGTTTCTGACACCTCATGTTTTTTTCAATGACTGCTACTGGCTTTACATTTTTAAAATGAATTAGTTTGTCTTTCATTTTACGTGGTCTTTTTATATTAGTAAATCACATTATATTAATAGCATTTAGTACATCAAACAGCATGTATAGAGTTATTATATATAATGTTCATTAGATTGATAACCTTAGGAAATCAAAGTTTTCATAGCGATCACTAAAGTATTTCAAAGTTTCATAGTTATCGCTATGCGCTCGGCACTTTGAAGTGAAAGTTGCGGGTTCTTCGGATGAGACCTTAAAAACCGAGGCCCCGTGTCACGACAGGCGTTGGCACGATAAAGATCCCTCACTACTCAATGGCCCCGAGTGCCGAGTAAAGGTAAAAATTTGAAGCCCTTCACCGGTATATGATGACGTCTCTATATGAGTGAAAAATTCTCGAAAGGGACGTTGAACAGCATACAATCAATCAATCAATATTGTGACTTTGTAAAATTAAAGTGTCCGGTGATCGCATGTCATCAAACTGTCGAGGTTTATTTCGATTTCGTGCATTTTGAAATCTCGAGGCATATGATTTCTTTCGATTGAGGATCGAAATAGACAGAAACCATTTTCTACTTGGTGTTATAATGAATTACATGTTCGGAATAACAAGGTTTTCATTTGAATACCTTCTTTATATCACGTGTATATAACCGGTCTCGTTAGCAAGCCTATATAAGAGGTGAATAGTTGTTTAAATGCCAGTTTAGGACGACACGTAGATTACGATAAAAATTTAGTCCAACATTACGATATACATATATTATGGAGTTTCATATTTTACATGTTATATGTAGATTGTATAATAAAGCTGGTACGTGTCGTTGCTATGTCCAAATAAGGGTAAACACTTGCTTATTACAACTCAATATACATTATAACCCTCCTAAATGCCCAGAAGCAGAGAAGAAAATTTTCAAATAAATTACGCATTTTCAAAATATACTAGTATTCAACAAAGCCCCACCCTAACACTAGAGCCCCTGATCCAGGGGCAAAGAAATTAAAACCAAAAAAATGAATAGGCAAACTTGCTCATCATAATTATTGACTTTGGGGGATGGGATTTACAATTTTGGAAGAGGCACCCTTGCTTTTCAATAACGTTGCAGCCACTATACTTAGGTAGGTAAATTACTGAAATTTAGAGCATACGTGATATGCTTCTGCTAGGAATAAGGGAAACTGCCCAATTATGTATGCATGTTATCCCCCCATCTCCCCTCACCAAGATGATATGCACCTTGTTTTTTGTAAAAAATGGACCCCCCTCCACCCCGGATGATATCCACCTTTACTTTTGTTAAAAATTTAATTAGCGTTGCAATACATTTTAATTTCTTTACCTTATTTTAAACTTTATATAGTTATACTGGGAGCCCTTGAGTACTAGATAATTGTATCTTGTTTAACGTCCCTCTCAAGAATTTTTCTCTCGTATGGAGACTTTGCCATTACGAGTGAAGTTTCTGCCGCGAGGGGATGCTCCGCTTAGCGGTGCCCTTGTTTATGGCTTAATAAAATTTTATAAAAATAATGTATTTTCACTATATAATCAATAGACCCCCCTCTCGCAGAACCCCTCATTCTAGTGCAAAAATTATACAATTTTTGTAAAGGCACCCTTGATCAACAAAACCATGTTCATGCATCAAGTTTTCTGTTATATATAAAGGGAGAGAGGAGATTCTTAAGAAATTTTTGCATTTTAACTATCTGATCAATAGAACCCTATCTTATCTCCAGAACCTCCTCTGACCCTGGGGCCATGAATTTCATAATATTGGTAGAGGGCTCGTTGATTATTGCAATCATCCCAACAGTTTGACTGCTTGATGTCCAGGAGTAGAGAAAAAGATTTTTCATACCCAAACGTTCTAAAGAAAGTTCGGTATATTGTGGTTATCCTGGTCCGTCCGTCCGTTTGCTTGCCACATTTTCTTCTTCCTCAAAATCTTCTTTTATTTTAAGTAGTAATAACCAATTAATCGTTTGGAATATGATAGGTTGTGTCCTGTAGATGTGCAATAAAGTTTTGGAATTATAAATATAACCCCAAGGGCAAACGGGGGCCGGAAAATGACGTTTTTCTTTAAAAAAAACATGGTTCCCAGAACTCCTCTTAAATTTTATGCAGTAGCCTAATCACTTTTTGGAAGATATTTGGTGCTTGTTGATGATGATTTGAGATGATCTTCTTATGCTCCCCTTCGAAAAAAAGAGGGCATATTGCTTTGCTGCTGTGGGTCTGTCTGTCGGTCCACCAACATTTCTTCGCAGGTTGCAGATACTGAAATGAAATTTGGTATACAAATTTATTATAAGAATATCTAAGTCAAGTTTTATTTTGGGTACGATCGAGCAATTTTTGACAGCGTTATGCTCCTTGGACTTAGAAAAATTCCAATTATTTGCAGTTACCGTTCATTTTCTTCGCAGAGGTTGCATATACTGAAACGAAGTTTGGTATACAGATTTATCATAGGAATATCTAGGTCACGTTTTGTTTGGGTACGATCGAGCAATTTTTGACAGAGTTACGCCCCTTGAACTTAGAAAAATTCCAATTATTGGGGGGGGGGGCATACGTGTTTCATAAACATCTCTTGTTTAGTATGACATGGTTCCCAGAAACCTTCTTATATTTTACAAATTAGCCTGATCATCTTTTAGATGATGATTGGTGGTGTCCTGTAGCTGTGCAATTATGTTTCGGAAATTTCATTTTCCCAATGGGGGTCGAAAACTAACGTTTTTTTTCCAGTCCATCTTTTGGAAGATGATTGATGGTGTCCTATAGATGTGAAATTTTTGATTTTGGAATTTTCATTTTTACCCCAGGGGTGAAATGGGGGTCGGAAAATAACGTATATAATGTAATTTAAAAGGTAAATGGAATATCAGAATTATACAAGAAATTTTATAATATTCCAATAACACTTTATGCAGTACCCTAATCATCTTTTATAAGATATCGATGATGTCCTGTAGATGTGCAAGAGGGTTTCGAAATTTTCATTGTCACTGGAGGTCAAATGAGGAATCGGAAATGATGGGGTTTTTTTTCACTGTGACCGGGTTCCCAGAACTCCCCTTACATTTTACCCATAAGCCTTATCGTCTATTGGAAGATGATTGGTTGTGTCCTATAGATGTGAAATAAGATTCGGAAATTTTAATTTCACCCTGGGGGTTCAAATAGGGGTCGAAAAATGACATTTTTCTATACAAAAAGACCTTGGTTCCCAGAACTCCCTTTATATTTTACGCATTAGCCTAATCATCTATTTGAAGATG